CTACCCCACCCATGACTTACAAGTGAACAGTGTCCTATCCCATGGCTACCTATCACTCCTGATTCCAAAATCTCACATTTTAATACTCCTTTTAATGTTATAACTATGATATGAATTTATAGTTTTACATTTGTACAAGTTTAATGAAAATTCAAAGCTAGTCCATTTTAAGAGTGAAGTGACAATACTTTCTTGGTTCATCTTTGTACAGTAATGTTCATCATCAGCATATCTGTTTCCAGGCTTCATCTTACAAGATGCTCTTGAATTTATAAAATGCAAAAGTGTTCCAAAATCTGGTGGGTTTTCCATGCTAAGATGAGGAAAGAACTGTGCTTCTTTGGGGAACAGTGGGTGATGAAAATGAAGTGTTGATGGACAAATGACAAACACCTGAGTGAGAAAAAAATAAGAAAAATACTTTAGGGAAATTAATTATGTTTCAAAAGCATGAAGAATTCATAAGCTTTTGATCCAATTAACGTGACAATACATGACACGTGCATGGACCTTTATACTTGAAATCTGAGTCTTCACACATTTACCTCAAATGTATATTTGCCCATTTTCTTCTTCTCACTCTCAACCAGCTGGTCCAACCACTTGACAAGTTCATCATTACTTTTACCTCCAAGATCATGCACATATAGATGCTTGTCAAATGACTGACAGTATTTGGAACCAGGAACACATCTAGGCCATGCAAGTAGGTATCTAGGAGGCATGTAAGTATTGGAGAAGACCAGATGAACTGATGTCAATTCTGAGCTGTTGGTATCTAATGCTGCCAAATGCTTCTGGAGATATCCCAAACTGGAATACATCCCTCCTTGATGTAAGATCCCAAAAACAATACACCCCAGTATATTCCACATTAACCAAGATGTTTTTACAAATGATAAATGCTTTGTTCCTGAAATAAGGTGGCCAAATAAGATTGCAAGAGGAAGCAAAATTGGTGTTAAGAATCTGGGTTCTTGGTGAGGAATGATGGACAAAAGAGTGACTGGTACAACCACACTCAACATCATTACTTTCAAAGTCATTATCTTCTGATGAAGAGGTTTCTTTTGTTTGATCTTGTTATTAGTTAATTCTTGAACATCCTCAGCACTTATCACGAAGAATTCCCACAGACATCCTAAATAGTCTCTCTTGAAAATCAGTACAACAAGAAAAAGAAAAAACAGGAGAGCAAGAATGCCATATAACAATGGCATGTTAACCAAGAAATGGGTAAATCTGGGGTGTAAGCCATGTTCTTTAATCTTTGAAGTGTCTAAGTTATACTTGATGAAGTTAAGTGGAGTTACTGCTAACTGTCCCTCGTTTGTGGAAAAGTAACCATAATAAATAGAATCTACTGATATGAACAGTAGTGCTGTTATTACGGCACCGACAGCAACAGTAAAAGTTGGCCTAATTAATTGTGTTATGAAGGTTTTCATAGTATCACTATCTGTGTAAAAGCTGTAAGCCCAACTTAAACCAGGAAAAACCGCAAAGGCCAAAAACGTTGGTCGATTCCAGACTCCAGCGGTCACGAGAATTCCAATCCCGAAATTCCTTATTGTACTCCCCCAAGTTTGATGTGAAGCGTTTTTGGAAGAAAAAATATGTGATGTTAAAAGCCATAGAAGCAAGGAAAATAAAACAGATTCCAAGGAGTTTGAGAACGGCCTGGTATGGAAGACTAGAGTTACGTACGATGTTCCAATAGCAAAGAGCACCGGAGCTGGATTGATATTAATACTCTGTGATATCTTATAAGCTGATAGATCTATTAATAAGGAAATACTACAGTACACAACCCTTGGTAGTAGAGCTAACGACCACGTGTTCAAAATCCAGGGCGAACCATTATAAGCGGAGTGTAATTTTTTCAAAATAATGAATGGAATTCCAGTTGTCAGATGTGGGAATAAAATACTTCGAATCGGAAAAGTCTCGTTGAATTCCCAAGTCCTTAGAGTTTGAAACCCAAATACATCACCAGCAGTAATCTCGGGAGACTGGAAATATTCATCTGGGTGGATGTAGCCAGATTGTGGAGAAATAACCCATAAAAAACGAATAAATAGTAATGCCAACCAAAAGAGTACCTTGTCCGCCATGTTGAATATTACCCACAATCCAATGCAAGCCGTGAAAAAACCGCTGACCAGTTTGCAGGCGCATAACAAGGATCGAAAGTGAAAAGAAAGAAAAACCAATAAAGAATTTCCTGAGTTTTTACAAATTTTGGCTAAAGATGCTTATAATTGGTTTAACTGGAGGTATTGCAACAGGTAAGAGTACCGTATCACAGATGTTCAAGTCTCTTGGCTGTCCTCTGATTGATGCAGATGAAATAGCAAGAGAAGGTTAGTAGTCTGGTGATAGTTGCAAAACATGCAATAAGCTTATTCCAGAAAAAAATGTAATCTATAAAAACTTAATTGCTTTACCCTATAGGTAGGAGAGGAGCGCTGAATAATTGTGAAGCTTTGAGTAACCTTTTCATCTTTTCCAGTTGTCCAGCCAAACGAAAAATCTTGGAAGAAAATAGTCAAACACTTTGGCCAGGAAGTTCTTCAACCATCTGGAGAGATAGACAGAGAGAAGCTGGGAAAGATTATCTTTGCAGATCCTGCCAAAAGAAAAGTTCTCAATGATTCTACCCATCCATATATATATCGCGTAATCCTATGGAAACTTTTGATGTTTTTTCTGGCAGGTATTACATTAGCATAATACTGTGTTGGTGCAGTGTTTATTTAGAGAGGTCTGCACACACAATCTTCCATGTCTGCTCATGATCAACATCCAATTCAATCCTAAGGGATTTAGGATGTGATAGCAGTTGTTTTGCACTAGCTAGCACTGTTCATTCATGGTACTATAGTTTAAATGTCTTTATTTTTGTCAGGTGAAAGATTTGTTATCTTAGACCTACCACTGCTCTATGAGACTGAAGTTGTACTGAGCATTACCAGCCAAGTCATAGTCGTATACTGGTAAGATAATAATTATTAGATTATGCAGTGTAACAACTATAACCAGGACCAAACAAATTATAGAATGAAAATCCATCCCATCTTTGGGTAGTTGAGCCAATCAGAAAGCAGCTGAAAACAATAGCCTTGATCAGCATTTCTTCATATTCCCATGAGAAAATGACCATGGCTATCTAGTTGGTTGTTTACAAATAACATCATTGTTGTGCAGTGTAGGATTTCTGTTTGACTCAACTACTTAATATAATTATAATTAAGTTGGAATGCATTATTTTCATTCTCTACGTTTTAATTGGTTCTCTTGTCTAACTAGCTGGTCTAAGTTAGAGTTACAGTAATTGCACTGTAAGCAAATAAAACAGTTTTTTCCATGCTTTGTTTATTAATTAGCACCTAGGAACAGGGGCGTAGCCAGGATTTTCCTAATTGGGAGGAAGGGTCAAAATTCAAAAATCTGCCATTTTGTTTCGGCCCCTGAAACACCAAACCAAAAAAAGAGCTGGCATTGTGTTTCACGTTTCAATTTTGCCAAACTTAGCAAAGCAAATGAAAACTAATGTATAATTTCCAAAATGCTGTCATTTTGTTGCCACAAGGTGGGGGAGGCATGACCCTCTCTCCGCCTGCCTACACTCTTGTAGGAATTAGTACTGAAAGCACTTGAGAAGTATGAGAATAAGCACTAGCTCTTCTAATATATGCCTTATATTCTTTTCTTCACACTTCTTTTGTGCTTCTGTCACTTCCTGCTTGGTGTGTTCTCAAATAATGATAACTACTGTATGTCCAACTGTAGCAGCCATATTCTCTTTTTCAATGCAGTGAAGAATCTACCCAAATTGAACGTCTAATGCAAAGAAATAATTTGTCAAGAGAAGAGGCCATTCAGAGGATTGAATCACAAATGCCCTTATCTGAGAAGTGTAAAAGAGCTACCTTTCTGGTTGATAATTCAGGATCTCAAGAAGAAACAAAAGCCCAGGTTTTAAGTCTTTACGATGAATTCAAATCTTCTTATTTATACCTTCGCTTGAGAATACCAGCTATAATGATATGTGGGGCTCTTAATGTTCTAATCATATTCTATACTTTACGATGGATTGGCATATTATAGAGGCCCTTTTAGGAGTAGCCATGTCCTCTGTCATCCGGGATTTGTCTTGGAAGACGGATTCACCCACCAACCTATCATCAATGTGCACAAGCACAAATCTCTAGCACAAAGCATGATGAGAAACCAAGTACTACACACCACACAAATCAATAGATTTGTCAGAAAAAAATTACTCTCTTGTCTGTTGGAAAACATCTCGTTTCATAGAAAATGTTGATGAAAAATTGTCAGACGAATTTTTAGAGGAGCTAAAAAAAGGTGTAAGTACTCGGTTTTCCATCATGCTTTTTGCTAGAGATTCATGCTCGTGTACATTGACTATTGTAAATATTATTTAGAATTACATGTCATTACTCCAAAGCCAATGATGCACACCCATTCTTTATTTTATTTAAGCATAAAGACAGTGAAGAAATACTAAACTCACACCCATTGTGCAATGCAATTGTAGAGATTGACAGAACAAAAGAAAAGAATAGGATAAAGATCTTATTAATAACAAGTAAATGAATATAATTATTTGCACTCATAAATTAATTTTAATTTTTTTATTTTAAATTTTAAACACTTTTAGTACAATTCATTTTTTAACCAATAAGTATAAATAAATATTGATAAGGATATTAATTTACACAATGTCATATGTACAATTGTCAAACTGTAAAAATTATCATAGTTAACTTTTAATTACTCAAACACTCTTAGAAACTAAAATGGAAGACTACCTAGTACACACTCTTGAAAATAAGTAATTTCTATCCATGAAGGATAAATTTATCTTTGTAGATAAAAATTAGTTTCAATCGAATGACAAATTTCTGCTGTAGCTCAGCTTTTGTTGTTCTTGATCATTACGAAAGAGAACTATAAAAACAAAAGCTGCTAAAGGGAAAAGACTAAGAGAGAATTTAAAAATTGAAAGACAAACGGAACCTCTACCAGGGTAGAGAAAAGGTTCAAAAATGTACAAAACTATACAAAATTATAGTTAATCAATCTTATTGAAAGGATTGAAAGGGTGAACCAGAGTAACCATTTTGGACATCTGGGAGTCCCTTTTGAATGGCGACAGATTTAAAGTTGATGGAACTTGAAGTTTTCTGGAGAAGAAAAAGCTTTAATTAGTAAAAAATGTTAAATATAAGGAAAAATAGGAAATATGATAAAGGCTTTGCACTATCACATGATGGCACCTATGACAGGACGCACAACAATAGAGCTTTTTTCACCTTTGAAACTGAATTCTTTCTCAACATGTAAATCAAATTACACCAGATTCAATAGCAGTTATTATGGATGCATGCAAATGAGATGCAAATGAGACAACAAGCATTGTATTGGCTTGATAGCTTAACTTTTATGATTCTTAAAATAAAAGAATTTCTCATTGCAGGCTCAACTGTAATAACAGCTATTGCTCCTACCTCCTCTCTTGCCTGCAATCATGTGATAGTTTAAAGCCTCTATAGACCCCTTGTATCAATTCCAGATTAGCTCAATATGGATGACAAAACAAATTAATTTTATGTTTTGTCTTGCAAATAGAGCTGCTCTGAGATTAGATGCAAGTGTTCTATAGCCCTGAGCCATATGTATTATTATAACATGTTAGTTACATGTACCTGTGTGTTCTGGCAGTAGTACATGCTCTGGGATGTGGTTCCTTAGAGTGTGCAGGATGATGAGACGAATAGAGGGAATGACCAGTGTATCCAGGAATATTACCTCTTCTGCAATATAATCATACGATACACCACTTCAATATAATTGCAGTGGAATCCTACACCTGCAGATGGTGCAAGCATATAAAGATGCTCTAAAATTTAGATGTAACAATTTATAATTTTGATGCAAAAAACGTTGATAGATTTTTGCAACTAATCAAGTTGTTTTATAACAGCTGATAGCCTCAGTTAAGATAAAAATATGTTAGGACAAGTGCATTTTCTTTATTTTTTTACTTTTCTCCTCTATATTTGTGGTGTCATTCCTGAGGCGGCTAGCTAGCTTTGAAGTAACAGTTTTCATTCAGAAATTACAGTCAAACCAGCTGATGCGTTCTTATCATGGTTTGAAGTTTGATTTCCATCTCGATTTTAAGCTTGCAGTAATGAAACGAATGTTGCGAATTTGGATTCTGGGCTTGGTTTAAAAGTTCATTTAGTTCCTCACAGATTCGTGCAAAGCTAAGATTATTTCAACAACTGTATACTTATTTGTTTGGTGTGCAGTTTTGTTCAAAAAATCCTATCACAATGAACATTTTGATATTTTGAGGCAAAACGTATATTGCACTCATTTTCTGTCATTTTTTTACCAAAAAAAAATAAAATAGCATCTCTATATATTGGCAACCTTGAGCATATTATTTGTACTTACTTAGAAGTGTCAGTATATCTTGGTTTGTGATTCCTTACTAATGTTATAGCACCAAAGTCAAAATTAGGATGATCTCTTTCATGAATCCCTGAGGTAGATCCGCTAAACAGATAAAGTTGGTATCTTGAATATATCAATGGCCTTTCATTGCATCAAGTACAGTAAATATGTTTCTTGGGGAAAATCTTCAGAGCAAACTACAAAGTTTTGAAGCTTGATTCTTGTTCACAGTTTCCATACTAGGAAATATGCAAGCTTATTGCTGTAGTTCCAGGAAATATCCCACCCACAGAGGAAATGGGAAATTCCGAAGGGGAGTAGGGTCAGAGAAAGTACAAAATTACAGTGTTTGTATTGGAAGTTCCTTAGGGTAGGGGGTTCTTTTACAAATTCCCTCTGTGGTGGAGATATGGATATTTAGTCAAATACGTTTGATGTTCATTGCATAATACAATATTATCCTACTTACGTGTATCCAGGTATGTGACCAATCTTTTTGTTTGGACTACAACTAAATGAAAAGAAAACAGCATGATGAAATTAATGCCTATAGGCCTTGATAAACAGGATGCATTGTGGACCATCTAGACTGGGTAAAAACAACACTATATAAGGCAGGATGTTTGTACTGAAGCTAGACCACAATGCACCATGTTCGCTATCTCAGAAAGGTCTACGGTAATACCAGTATACACTAACGTCAAGCATCTTATTATATCCAAAATTGCCAACCTTTAGCACACAAGATCCTCTATTTCAGTAGCACATTTGCAAGAGCTGTCTATCCTATTTGACAGCAGTGATATACTTTATGATAAGAACAACATGCACTTACAAGTTAACAGTTCCATAAATGTAGTTTCCATTCCTTGACTGTAGATAATCCCAACTGTGTGGTCTACTGCCTAATTGCTAAAAGATTAGCAAAAAAGTATGCTAAGTAAATAGATAAAGATATAGATGATAGCCTACTTTAAATATCTACAATGTAGTTGTAAAGACAACTAGTTGCCATCTAGTTGCCATATACCTTACCTGACATAGTTCAGTTCTAGCGTCATAACGTTTGAGGGAAAACATTAATATTAAGATATGAATTAATTATATTGTTGTATAACACACTTTAGCAGCAATATACCTTACCTGCCATAATTCAGGTCTAGCATCATATCGTTTGAGGGAAAACTTCCGTGATACCATGTCTGGTCTGAGTTCAAGTGTAGTGGGAGGAGGGTCTAAAGCTGGTGGTAGTTTGTTGGCCCAGTCAACACCATTGTACAGCCTGCAAGATTATAGCAAATGTTCAACCCTTCAAACTTTATCACACCGTGAAACAACCTTTGAGTTGATCAATAAACAATCTCTGCACTGATCAAAGTCAGGACATGGCTAGCTCACACATCAAACTCTGGAACAACCACTGGGCTAATCTAAGCCAGGGCATGGCAGGGGCGTATCTACGATTTGTAATTGGGGGGGTCCTTACATACCAAATTGTCACTATGATGTCATATGACATCAGTATGATGTCATAGCAATCTATTGTTTTGATGAGAAAGAATCATGGTCGATAGAGGGGAAACGAAATGAAAAGATAGCTCCTAGAAGCTAGAAAACTGATTTTCTTAACTGCTTAAGTTAAGTCTAAACAAATCTTCACTCACTGCATCAACAGCCAGTTAGATTTTTTTTGGCTTTGAAACGGGGGGTCACGGGCACCCCATGGCCCCCCTGGATACGCCCCTGCATGGTTAACTTACAGATCAAACCCTGAAACAATCTCAGGACTGACTCGCCCAAATATGCATCAAACTGTAATTTTTCAACTATTTAATTGTTCCATGCATAATGCAACAAACCTCTGTGTTTGTGAAGTGTAGAATGCTCTTGTTGCAACTGCATCTCTCCATTCTTTATTCTTTATTTTCTCATTTATTGGAACCTTTATAAAGAATCACACAAAAAAATTGCATCAAATACCCAAACAACAGAAGGAATAAATCATGAAGGGGGAGGGGGTGGGGAACAAATGCTACATTAGCACCCCCTCCCCTCAATAAGTATGAGTACTCTATCAGTATTTATGTTGGATGTCATCTTACCTTGCTTGACTCATTTTCACGGCTCGATTGCCCAGTTTGAAAGTTTCCATAGCTCTCCAAGTCTATAAATAATAGAGTGATCTTTATGCTTAACTATGGAATAGAATTACCTTATAGTTCACTAGTGCGAAAAGAAAGGCGCACTACTGCAGAAGTCAAATAGTTAAAAAATTAGCCATTTATGGGATTTATTATAAAGAGCTGAAGTAGGAGCCTACGCTTCGAAAACGTTTACATTTACTTTACTTTTAACATATTACTGGCTTATAATGAGATAATAGATATTTTTAAATATCTTAAAAGGGCAAGACTCGACTTTCAAACTTATAAACAAAGAAAAAGAATACCTTTGTTCTTCGATTCCCAAGGAGCATTTATCGTCCTTAGTTCAGAAGTAGGAGACGTAATGGGTCTACCGTAAGGCTTAGCAGACTGAGGACGATGATCTTTACAAAATAATGGCTCGATAGGTTTATGATTACCATCTTCTGCATCAGCACCTACTGAGGTAAAGCCACTAATTGGGTCAACTACTGGAGTGTCCTGTCTTCTCGGAGCTTCGGCTCTCCTCTCCCCTTTATCGCTATACACTCTATAATTAGACTCGTCCCGTTCTTGAAAGGATATTATATCGTGGATTCCACGCGTTGGTGGAAACCTTCCTGTTACTTTTTGTCTCTGAGAACGTTGGCCAACAGCCAGGGGGTCTTCAGGCAGATGTAAACGAAACGTCCCGTACGGAGATCGCGACTGAAATCTCTCTGTTACACAAGCCATATTTGGTTTACCATCAATAAAAATAGCATTTACAACTGAGGCATAAAAAGAAAACCTTAAAGATCTTTTATAAGGAATTTCTTAAGCTATAGTGAAAGTTATCTATATTGTGTTCTGGAACGCGATCGGATGCTCGACCGCGTTGTCAACATGTGGTTGCTATGGGGGATCGCGGGCGCAGCAATTCAGATGAACAACATTTTACATAGGCCATTCATTTTTTCAAACTTATCCTATAAGCAGATAAACAGAGACGAGCATGATTCCTTTTTAGCGTTTGTTTTTACTATTTGCTCGGTCCAGTTGATTATTTTGAGTAAAGAAAAATCTTAATTTGGGCTTCCTGTGGAGGACTGAGAGGCAACCTGAGATCTAACACGTGGTTTTTTGGCGGGAGTTAGGCGGGAAAAAATAAAATCGAGTCGCCATTTCAAAGAATTTCAGTAGTAAACCTCTAGGATTTGTGGCCGAAAATGTCGTTTCTAGAAAATCTAAAAGAACTGTTTGGCACTGAAAGTCTTTACGAAGTCCTTTGTCTTGAGAAATCCGCGTCTGATTCCGAAGTTAAGCGAGCTTATCGTAAGCTTTCTTTGAAAGTTCATCCTGATCGAGCCGAGGAGAAGGACAGACCAACTGCAACTAAAAAGTTTCAATGTCTAAGTAAAATTTACACAGTCTTATCTGATAAGGAGAAGCGAGCTTTGTATGACGAGAGTGGAGAGATCGATGATGAAGTTGTACAACAAGAACGAGACTGGGATGCATATTGGAGACTTTTGTTCAAGAAAATTACTTTAGAAGATATCAAAGAGTTCGAAGAGAAATACAAGGGTTCCGATGAGGAAGTAAATGATTTGAAATCTGCTTACATGGATTATGAGGGTGATATGGACCAGATTATGGAGAACGTTCTTTGCTCTACCGCTGAAGACGAGGATAGGTTCAAGGACATTCTCGGGGATTTGATTAAGAAAAAAGAATTGCCGAAGTACAAGAATTTCGCTAGCGAATCCAAGGTGAAAAAGAGAGCAAGAAAGAAGAAGGTACAAAGATAAAGATCAAAGATTTTTAAAATCATAGTTAAAGTCATCTAAGGGGTGTATCCATGGGGGTCCAAGGATAATATTGTTGTTTTGAGGGGAGGGGAGAGGAGGAGGAAAGAGTTGGTTATAGCTATTCAGTAAATTTCCTTGGTTTGATTTGACTATATGAACTAGATTTTGCTGTAAGATATGAGCACAATAATCAATTTTTAGAAACATATACTACATGGACATAATTTATATTTGTATACCTTAGCTAGATTCCAGAGGCGCTCTTGCTCAATTGCTTCTCAAGCGATAATGAGAGAAAAAGCCTCTGAAACCTAGTCTCCCTCGCATCCGTTTTTAGTGTCGGTCGTCTCGCAAGTTGCGAGGGAGACTATCTGAAGCCCAGCCCAGGGTATAAATGTATACATGTATGACATGTTCATACAGTAGTTAGACCAGAATGCTCCTCATACAAAGTAGACATTTTCAGATATATGTCTATGAAAGACTTATAGTATGGGCATGCCATGTAATGATGGTGCTATGTGTCCTAGCATAGTTAATAAAGAAGACTGGTCCCCTCAACTGTGGTCTTAAGCAATGGTCAATAATATTGTTCAGAGGTTATCATGTCTGAGCCATGACAATCCCTCATCTCACACTGACTATTACACATCAAACCAAATGATCTCAGACAGAGATCTAATGATTTAAGTTAGTACTGTATAAACAGTTGACCTACTCAGACATTGATTTGTTGAATCTTCGTTGAATGTTTTTTTTTGGCATTGGGAATAGGCTGAACAGGAAGCTGCTGAAGCAGAAGAAATGGCAGCTGAACTTGGATTACACGATAAATCAGAGAATGGATTGCATCAGCTGATATTAAAACGACAAAGTGATCGAGCCAGTGCCATGGATGATATGCTAGCAGGTCTTGAAGCCAAGTATCGCAAGCCAAAAGCTACGAAAAAACACAAGTCTACAGAAAAGTCAAAGAAGTAAAGCTTGTCTAAAGTTTATTAGGAAATAGTTGTAATCATATGGCTACACCAAACATTAAATATTTTGTCTAATCACTCATCACCATTTTCTCATAATTTTGACAGTTGTAAACCGTCGATATACCGATTCGAATAATGGACTGTGTTTCGTTTTAATTTATTAAACAGTAGTGCTATAATTGTTATTTGGATTGTTAAAAATTTATAAATAAAAATCACATATAAACTAATATTAAGATAAAGCAAGAATGGAAAAATTTTGTTTGCATCCTGAATATAGTGAATATTGTTTCAGAGATCATTTGATAGATAAAATACCTGTAATTACTGTTTTTAGAATATTTACTAGATAGAGTTAATTTGTGAGATTGAGAAAAAAATCTTTCATAAAGCCAATCATGGGCAGTGTCTATTATTTGTGTTTACGATAAGACATTTGCATTATGGAATTATTAACTACGACTTGAACAGAATCCTTTGCACACTTTCTTTTGTTCTGTTGATTATAACCAGTTATTGTCTTTACCATTCTCATGAGGGAAACACAAATTCAAATAAGAAAGAAAATTTGCAAAGCATTATGGTATTGGGAGTCAAAAGACACCATCATGCAAATGTCCTATTGATGCTAATAATGAACTTTCATAGTTGTTTGCTTATTAAAAAATATACATACATATGTTTGATTTAGTTGTCAGTATAGTTGAACTCTAACTATCAGAAAATTTTATTGTCATACTTGAACAAGGTGGGGGCTTAAGCCCTTCCATCCCCTCCAGCTCTTCCTCCCTTGTTTTGTCACCTTGGAGTTTTAAATAAATAGTTAATTGGAATGTATATTTAGATGTCCTTTACTAAAATAAAATGTCTTTTTTTTTGACAACAAATCAAAAGACATGATTAATTGGTAATTAGGATTCTTTTATTATTTTGGGGAGCTTTGAATTTAAGAAAACATCTTGAAATGATTAATTTACTAGTATTGGTTTTACTATTTTTAGATATATCATAAAAATAAAGTTGACTCATGAAATAATTTAATGTTTCCCTTAGCTTTCAACTGACACGGTCATCCTAAGAGGACTTTACCTTTAAATACTAAAATCTAGAATAATGCATTAAAGAATATATAGGTAAGATTTTTTATCACATTTAAAATAAAAGAGAATGATTTTACTAGTAAAGCAACTAGAATAAATGAATAATATTTATTAAAATCACATTGTAAACATTCTCTATATTTGTACATATTTACACGCTATTAATGATGTTATATATGTCATGCATGAATTGTTGGGAGAATGCTGCTGAACTTCTAATATATATCAAAATTGCTACATCCTCACGTACAATTTTTTTAAGTTTTTCTCTCCTACTGACCTTTATGCAGTATACGTTTGAGATTTTCAATCAATGAAATATGTTCAGGAACGTACATAGTTTCGTGCAATATGACGTCATACTTGCTGGTTCATTGATTGATGTCACTAGGGTCCAGTATGATTCAAGATCGGTCGTCAGTAAAATAAACAGTTCTGTATGGATCTCAAATCTGTGTGACTACTGGATAAGAAAAAGCTCACATTTTAGCACTTAATATTCGATCGTCTTCACCTCCCGTGAACTTCAGTGAATAATCTACAATCTCTATCATTTTCAGTGGAGCTGATTTTTCCAACGGATGGCTTGTTCTGGAACCGTGCGAACTTCTTCATAGCTGATTGGGCTTCAAGTTCGACTTTAGAGTTCAAAATTCCATCGAAATTTCGCGAGCTTCGACAATATTACCGTTGTTGTCATTCGGAATTATTGATAACGATAAAAACGTGAACGTTTGCTTGTAAATATTTGCGTTGGTTGGAGATTATTTCTGTGAGCATCCGAGACACCCAACTGGACCCGTTCAGCGCTACTCATTGAAAAACCTCGTCTACAAACCACATCTTTAACTTGTTGATATGTGAACTGGACTATTTAGTATTTTATTTGTTAGAGTGTAAGACGACTTTGCCCTAAGAAAAGTCCTTCCTAGTCTTTGCGATAAAATTAATCCTAAGGATCAAATTCAGGAAATATGAAATTCCTTGAGGGTTAAAAATCGAAGGTACGAGATGACCGAACGTCGAGAATCAGATGGAAGGTAAAATTATGCCAAAAATCTTATTTCATTTATTTTTGCGCTTGAAATATTCCGTTTTATATTCTTATAAACTACTCAAAGATCACAATTACCAAGGTATTTCTTATACCTGAGCTTACGTGGGAATTGTATTAGTTGTAGTACTTACGAAAAGATACTAGATCCGAGTCGACTGTAACTGGTTTTAGACTCAAATTTCATTATAAAAATTTGTATGTGGACTTGAACTCTCGACATTAACTTTATTCTAAAACTCATACTAAACTCAGAAATATTTTCACTTCGGTGAATTAAATTTTTTGCTATGCCTACTAATAAAAGAAAGAAGAATATTAGTCTCTGCGTTCGTACATAGTGCGATCTATCGTTAATTGTGCGATAAAATATTCCAAAGGGTATATTGTTTTGATGCAGTCTCCATAACGCTAATATTTTAAATTTGGCACTAAAAATATATATATATTTTTTATGTCTTTGCCAACTCATAATTTAGATAGCTTGAAAAGTTTGCTACTCGTCGCGGAGGTGTTGAACTGTTTCAGCGAGTGTTATTTTAGAGAATTATTAACATACTTATGGGAGTTAAACTCTTAAAATGTTCCTAATCCAGATATTCAGATACTAATATGTTGTGTTTATATTGTCAAGACATTTCTCAACCATTTTTGGATGCTTTTAAAAGATATTGAATATAATTTCTACCACCTTATTCAAATATTATTTTATGTGCTTTTTTGTTTGCTTAGCGATAGCATTCTTTTATTTTTAACTTTGTCAATGTTTAATAAAAATATAACCCTGAAATTACGCAAAAATATAACTCAAAACTTGAATAACTGCATTGTTTGTGGTTGAAGGCTTTGTAGACGGCATGAGTCTGGTGTTGTTTCAGTTCTATTTAAGCACACATATGTTTTGTTTTAATTTACCACAGTTTTAATTTGAATAGGTTCAGTCCTCCAAATCGTCTCAGTGTTTATTCAAGATTGAAACCATTTTAATGTTTGCTTTTGACTTTATGATTAATCTTATTATTATTGCTTGACTGTCAAAAAGTTGACTCCTTTAAGAAACCTTTTTGTTTCAGGCTCTCTCATCGGACTGCTGCCCCAAAAGCTCCTCCGAAAGTCTTAAAGTATGATCCAATCGATATGGAGATCCGAGGTGAAGAAGCTCCTGGGAGCTTTGGAGATATTCACAGAAAAGCTCTTGCAAAGAAATCACGAGACTCCAATGAGCCTCAGGCATTAGTTTTACGTCATCTTGAAGAACGAGTCGATCCTGAAAAAGGGTTGGTAAATGTGCCAGTTAAGAGTTACGATGAAGAAAAAGTTTCCCTGGCTCGTGCAGGCGAAACAATCTTGGAAACATTCTATGGCATGTTTTATGCTTGTGATGATGAGACGAAGGAGTGGAAATTAGCTGTAGATGGTTTCATCCCTCTTTGTTTTATACAAGAACGTGGAAATGCTAACAAACCTTTTAAGATTATTGCTGTTAGTGGGTCAGTAAGGGTGAGTAGTTTATGGTAAAGGTGCTCTTTCCTTTCTTTTTGACAGCCATTTTGGCAAGGGGTCTGTTAGAGCACACTTTTTGTTTCTACCACTTCCGAAACTTCCAGACATCTGTTTTTTTTGGCTTTATGTCAATCAAAAATATACTTTTTACCAAGACAATCGTAACTTTGATTGACATGACAGCCATTAAAACATGAGAGAACATGCCATATATGTAGTTGTTGGCTCTGTCGAAAACGTGAAAGGAGTTGCAAATTGTTGATACCAACGAAATCATCCATTTTATTGTGTAACTATGTTGCGTTTTTCAGTGCAACAAAAGTAACTGGGCTACTTAGACCCAGCCTAGCTATAGCTTTTCCCATTCACAATTTGATATTACAGTGGGGATAATCAGACTGTAAAAACTTCGATTTTATTCAGGTTATTATTATCTGCACAAGTTTTCTACTGTTTCAAAAAATAGTGCATTTTTAATCATTTATCCCATGCACTTTAAACAATATTATGCATGTATTGACTTCATGTTTTGCTATTTTTAGTTAATGGAATTTTCAGTTACCAAGGATACCAAATGTGCACAGAATAAGGCATTTGTGAAGTGGAATGAAAGCATTAGTAATATGTTTGGTGTACGGTTTGCAAAGGAAAGCCAAGCCAACCAGGTATAGATTATGTTAAGTTAAAAACAAATGTTAACTAGTGTTACAATAAAAAGACAGGTTATTATTTTCTGCACTTTCTACTGTTTCAAACCTCTAAAATGAAGCATTGAGTTCAAATACACCGACTGATGAAAATAAATTTAATTTTCAATTGATGAGCTCAAGCATATAGTTAACTATGGCTCAAGGGATGATTTATAATATGCATCTTTTTGAATATTAGGTGACAAAAAACTCGAAGTGTATTATGAGACAGTCATATATTCGATATTAAGACATTAAAGAGCTCTTAAAATACTAATTTATATAGGTTTTTAGAAATTATTCATTATCATGTCTTATTCCAGATGCACATGATAAAAGTAACCAATTAAAGACTAAATTATTGTCTACATGTTGCTAAATTGATGCAGAAAAAATGATATACACCACTTTCAAAACTTAATTTCTGAAATTGAGTATAAAAGAATAATACAAAAGAAATGACACTTTATCCCAATTAGCTTCACATCCAAGATACATTTTTATGAAAGATAGTTATCAATAATGAGAGTGATCATTGTTGATGATGATGTTTCTTCTTCTTGCTAGTTTTATATAGCTTTGTGCAGAATGAAATCAACTCTTATTAAGACGGCAGAGCTTTTCAAGCAGCCAGAGAGAAAAGTAAGTCGTATTCTCTTACTGGGTTAAACATTTTGGCTGGTCATTGGACAATGCCCAGTCTGAAGTGGAAATTGTCCAGTCAAATATTTGCCTTGCTGATCAATTTTGCCAAACCCCCCCCCCCCCCTCCCAATCATCATGTCTGGCCATTAAAGGGTGTGGTAAAGGGTTATTTCGGCATTTTATGGATAATTATATGATAATTGGATTTATTTTATACATACTGAGATTTTTTTATCAAATTTCCCTGTGTGAAAAACAAGTTCGCGACATTTTTCACTGCTACCAGTCAAGAATATAAAAGGTACCAACTTATTATTTTTGATTGACAGCATGGTGAAGAATCAAATTTCAGTGTGCAGCTCACAACTACGAAGTTCGCAGAATATGAAAACCACAGTAAATTTACATAATTTGAACTAATTGAATTAACATGTTATAATTTTCTTCTGTTACATTATTGCAGGCAATGGTGTCTCAGATAAGCGATCCTAAAGTCTCTAGTGTCCCACATTCAAAAACCTCACTGATTGTTAAGCTGCCAAACAAGGAAACTACAGTGATGTCTGTACCAGGATTGTAAGTAAAATCACTGTCATTTCCCTCCCACCTTCAGCTTCCCATTTGGAAGCTCATCATTCACATTTTTTATTAAAGGAATGTTGAAATTTATAGTTTGACTTCATGAACGAACGAACGAACAAACGAACGGACAGACAGACGGACAGATGGATGAATGAATGAATAAAAGATAGATTAATTGAATGAGTAAATGAATGAATGAATGAATGAATTATTTGCAAATGATGGGAAAATGATGGAAAAAGTGCTTACTATTTAAGAAATCAAAACCAAACTTTCATTGATTATTCAATTTTCAGACTCACAATGAGTGAGCTGTTTGACTTAATTTGCAAAAAAGAGAGCCTGAACCCTCAAGAGCATCAACTTTCATTACCAAGAATTGGAAACAAAGAGTTGACATACGAGTCTGATACAGTTCTGGGATCATTAAAGATCAGGGAAGTGTCAATCATCTATGTGGGAGTGGCTTCTGATAATGGTGAAGCCAGTGGAGGAACAAGTCCAGTCAAGGTTGAAAGTCTTCTTGAAGATGAAAATAAGAAGGTAAGAAATGAATCAGCTGGCCACAAACTTTCTCTGGCCAAAAGTGTCCAGTTAAGTCTTTGAGTTGCCGGTCATTTTGACTAGTTACGTTGGGCCGGGAATGATGTATGAACAAGCCAAACCTAATTTTGTTTGTTATCATGACCGGTGACTGAGCAGCTGTTATTTCTAGCTCTGCTCTAGCTAAGTCTTTAAGAAGGACATTTACAGCTGACAATGTAATTTATTTACCACTTGTTTATCATATTATTATAGCACTTTGTCTCCCCGATTAGTAGGGTGCTTGTGCCGGGCTAGAAGTATTCAAGATGTTAATAAAGTTATTATTGCTTTGCAATCAAAAATATGATAGATTTCCCCTTAACATTAATGTGCAAATGCAGATTGTCATGCCACACCCATTATTATAAATTTCAAAACCTATATTTTATCGTACCAGTGAATATCTTTGAGCTAAGGCAAGGTTTATTTTTAAGCACTTAAAACAGCAATCAATTGGTGCCTAAAACACTCTTTTGAGACATCTTAAATATGGATGAAAAGATAGTTATTTTGTTATTGTATTTAATGGCATTTGTGATATATTCAACCTAATTTTTTTTCTAATGTAGGGCAAACAGTTAGACATCATTTTACCAAATGGTCAACAGAGATCTTTACTAGTACCTCTCAACATGCCAGTCAGGAATCTGGAAACGTATGTCTGTAAAAAGGAGAACTTGAACCCCAGACACCACTCTTTGCAATCCAATGACTTCAAGCATCAGTGTTTTGATGCTGGTAGTGCTGTTGGTGATATTGAATTCACTGAACTAAGACTTCTGGATAAAAGAGGTAATGTTAGAACTATGTACTTGAAGTGTGTGTCATGTATGATATCTAGTAGTTTTTCTTTGTTTATTTGTTTGTTTGTATATAAAATCCTATGCTTTGTAGTCTTAAGCTGAATGGGTTAATGCATGTGACTAGTAATCTAAAAAGTGCAAGAGTGTCTGTGCAAGAGAGATTCAGAGTCTTAGGCCTTAAACCTGACAGAAAGGTGTTTGGCATAGAAAAGACATGAAATATAAGGGAAGCTAATTTCTGGTTTCTATAGTTACCATGCTGTTCAAACTCTTCTTATCGTCCTCTCATGACGTTAGACATAGCCTGTTGCAGAGGGCAAGATCAGACCCCTCTATATACCCTTTTTTGTCTAGAAAACCAAAATGATAAAGAGACCCTGTCATTTTCAGTTTACATGTCATAAGTGATAACATGTCATGAGCACTTGTCATAACTTACCATTTGTCATAACCACTGAGACACTTGCATTTTTTTTTTTACTTGACATGCCATGTAAGTGACCACCTCTTGTAAGTGGAATTTAGCCAGTATTTTGAGCCAAGAGGGATCACTTGTGAAAGGATAAGCCATCCAATCTTGAACACAATATCAGTGTCCCTAGCACTGTTCAGGACCAAATGAGGCAAGCGAGGCAGTTGCCTTGGTATATTATCACAAATGTCCCTCAATACTCTGTAAAATCGCTTAACCTTAACCCTAACCCAAACATTTTGCTCCCCCCTTCGCCGCTCTTTTGCCTCGGTAAACATTTTCGTCTGGCTATATGGCCCTGCTGTTGTTAAGCTCGAGAACTCAGAACCCAAGGATTGAACAGTCCTCAAACACTAGTCAACAAATGCAAGAACACTCTTAGGAGAATACGAGTCTGAGTTACTTCTATAACAGGTTATGTCCTCCAGTTTGTGCTTGACAAAAGTTGTGAGGGACGCTGCAAGGAAATAATACCATGGGTGCTTGCAATTTAAACCAATCCATCCGGTTGGAAATGCGTTTGCTATTGGTAAGAAAAGAGCGGGAAACTTTGGCTTCCGACAAATGGTACACGCGTCTACCGAAAGAACCAAAAAAAGCTGGAAAACTAGATTACCTCAATTGGAAACCGAGCTTTCCAGGCCTTTCAAATCGAAACGGCAACATAATTAAAAGAGGGGAATGACTCCCTTTATTAACTATAATGGCACATACCATTTGTTTTTCCAACCGGAATTTCTGGTTTTCTGGTTTTCAGGTTAAAAATGAAAAGCGCCCCATGAATCCCATCCCATTCATTGCATAATTCATTTGATCATATGCTACATCATCATTAACCATTCTAGGTCATAGCTCTAGAAGTAAACTAACCAAGATTTCATCAAGTGATGACTCCTGTGTCGGTAATTCTAGTAGTGCTAATCTTTTTGCTGGGTTAAGAGCTAATCGATTGTGTGAGTACTGGATTAAGCATCCTACTTACAGTAATAGTAATAATAATACATTACCGCATGCCTGCTAGGGATAGTAATTGGTCAAATGACCCATAACGCATACCATTGATACATTAACATCTTTATTTGGGGTCTTTTTCTTTCTGTAAAAGGTAAAAATGCACGAAATTTAAAAAGTGAAAATGGATAATATAATGAATAACGCATTGAAAATATCTCTTCTCTCTATGCTTATTTGTTGCGTTTTTCATGGCGTTAGTCAGAGCTGATGTTCAGTCAGTTTAACTTTGAATGTATTTCAATACAGATTCTAGTCAGGAATCGTTAGATTTAGAAGGAAGAAACGCAACACGGAAGGACAGCAAGACTTCAAGTAATTCCGACGAACTGACATCCATTGTGAGTAAAGCTTGCTCAGTGTTTGTCAGTAGGACGTTGTATGTTCTGATCCTCTCACATGCATCCTAAGGCAGAGATACAAGTGGTTTCATACATGGTAACCATGTTGTACAGCCAAACAATGCAATTTTCGCCGTTGTAAATTATTAAAACCTCTTGTTATGCCGGTCCCTTTTCGTATTCATTAAGGGATGGACCATTAGCTAATTAGGGGACCATTAGTGGGGAGGGTGGGAGGTTGTTTGCAGAAATTTTTGTTGCACGATATTTTTTGTAACAACCCCTTCCGTAGGTGAAGTGCTTGCTCAATATTTGTTTTGGGGATTTACGCAATCGCCCCCTTAATTTTAAAACTTGTGATCCGTCCCTAACCTTGCCTCCTTTTCATAATCTACGGATGTTGTGTTGAGTTTGAGACACCGTTATTACTGTGGATCTTCTCACTGCAGACACCTTTGCTTGGGCCCTTGGTGCGTATTGCCGTTGAAAAGTCAGGCGTCATTGAGCATTCATTGACTTGGGTTTAATCGATGTTCTTTTTTATAATTGTTATAGAGCGAGAGAAGTGTGAAACCACCAGTCCCACCTCAACCATACATGTCTCGATCCAACGCATCGACCAAATCGAACCATGAACTACGAGTCAACGAACTGAAGTCCAGCCAATCTTTCTCTGAATATAAAGGAAAGCGAACCAACCCGGCTGTGAGGGAGCTGAGCCTGAGGGAAGCTGGGAAGCCCAAGCGAAAAGCACCACCACCACCACGACCACCACGACCACCACAGCCTTCAGCAAGACCAACTAAAAAAGAGATTGACCAAAGCCAACCGCCTGTTCTCCCTGCTACGGAGAAAGTTGCTGCCGTGGGGTCATCTTCTAGTACACCACAGGGATCCCCTAGACTATCGCCTCATCAAAGACATGTTAAGAAAAGGCCGGTAAGATTGAGCTCTAAGATTTACCGGCGTTTGCATTGCTACGCGGCCACCCCAGACAAAAATCGCGACGTGCACTTTGCAATAGACTGCCGTCAATCAAACACGTTGATGCCATTTACACGCGTGTGTGATTCAAAAGGCGCCAAAACTTGTCGATTGTTCACAAGTATTATGAGGCATACTCACCGGGCCTATCCCGGCCGATCCAAACGCGTGGAAATGACGTCAACTTGTTAAAATCTCTTTTTCTATAATTTAAACACATATATGTTCATGTTCGACTCCTCACCCCTACGGGGAGGGAGAGAGCTCCCCGTTTTTTCCTTCGTAGGAGGATGGGGTGGGGTGACGTAGAAGATGACACATGACAGACATTAATTACTTGATTCCAGGCCCCTGCACGACCACCAGCTCCAAAGCCACCATCTCGCCAAAGGTCTGAAAGCAACCTTTCTGTAGAAGATACAGGAGCTGAAGGCACCAAAACCAATGATAGACCTCCTCCGGTCTTCTGCCCCCCTCCCCCTCCTGATGATGAACCGCCGCCCCTTGATGAATGTGAGCACCCTGTCAGCCCTCTTAGTGATGATGATCTTCATGAAACAACATGGTCTTCCAGTAAGTACTCAAGATTTGAAGTTTTTTTCAAAGGTTGTTGAATGACTTTTTGACAAATTTTCACCACTTTTTGTGACTTTTTTTTTTTTGCCTCCCTCATTGCATCTTCTTGTCTAGTTAAAATTGGAAAATGTCTTATTATTTATTGCGTGAAATTACCTTTACTGACTAACACTTAATTATCATAGCCTTTGAAAGTCCTGATGTGAATGGTTATCCTGAGGAGTTGGAGCATTCATCATCCATCGAGACAGGAGCCAGAGAACGACCAGTCGTTGCTACTCGACGGGTGAAACCAGAAAGACCAAAACAACCTGAACGACCATTACCACCACTCCGCCCGTCTTCATTACCTTCAACTCCCACGAGCCCTGACCCTCCTGAGCGCACAGTCACCTCGCCTGAATCTATACCATTGAAGTTTCTCATCCCAACACCAGAAAAACGTCCAGATAGCGCTGCAGATGAGCAAGAAGACGAACACGATGAAGAGTTGTCAAGAATATGTTTTGACAATGACAGTCGAAGCTCTAGTGTTGATATATCATCATTTCCCGAGAGTGACATGCCATTGTTATCCCCTGTAGAAAGATACAAACCATTCCCTGTCGGGCCTCCTATGGAGTTTGCTGAGAAGGATACTATTACTGTTACTAACACAAGAACATTAGAGTCAGCACCTGAAGAACCGACTCTTCCTCCTCCTTTAGGGTTCTCTAAATCAGAGTCAGTAGAGCTGACAACAAATCTTTCCATCAGTAATGACTCTGGTAACGTGGAGTATTCTGGTAATGAAAGTGATGCCACCTTTGAGGATATGGTAGTACCCCCACCACCAGTCCTGACAGACGAGGAATTACCACAAAATGACGAGGAAAAACCAGATTCTCTTTCGCAAATAGATGTATTAAACCCTATCCCTCCTCCCATGGACTTTGCGCCTCCTCCAAGTGAGTTTGCGAATCCTCCTGCTGAATTCGCTGATAGTGAAGCTATGAGTCCACAACCACAGAAGAAGAAACTGGGGCTGAATTCCTCATCGTTTCCTTGGCTTGCGGAACCTCAGCCGTCATTTAAGGCAGAAATTAAAGATACACAGCCTGATGTCCAAGAAGAGGGAACGAAGAGCCCTGTAGGTCTAGTACCAACAGAGTTTAGGGATGAACAAACCCTTGAGAAGTCTTTTTCTGATGAGGTTGAGAAAACCTCTTCTGATCTGAAAATAGAAGATCAGATGGAATATGAGTCTTCGCTTGCATTTGAAGTACCGGAGCCATTTATCCCAGACAGTCAAGAAACTCTGGAAAGCGAACAATTCAAAATAAGTAATTTAGATAGTAACAAGAAAGACCTATCAGATGAGGTCACGTATAAAACTCCATTTGATGACATGGAAGATGTAAGCCATGCTGCTGAAGAGCCAGATGAAGGATTCGATGACCTGCCTGATCCAGTATTTGAAGCATCTGTAAGTAATAACGTACAAGAATCTAAAGATTCGGACGATCATAATAAGGATGTTGGTCAATATAGGCTGGACTTATCAGAAACTGCAGATTTGTCCCCACCCACTCCTCCCTTAACGTCTCCACCTGGATCAGGGTGTGTGTCGCCAACTCTTCCATCTCCACTCTGTTCTCCAAGAGAAGATACTCCCCCAGTTCCACCCGCTCCTGCAGAGGTTATTCCTGCTAAAACAGAAAAAGAACCTAGAGAGAAAATAACCAACAATGTCATATCTTCATCGAATTATTCTTCATCAAATGCCATGTGCAGTTCAGAGCCGATAGAACTGCCCAACCCTCCACCGATTACTGTACCACCTCTAAGGCGTTACTCGGATCTTGCGGCTGACATCTCGTTTCCTACGTCTGGGATCCAGACGGATTCACACGAGCCACCTCCGAAAGAAAGCGAAAAAAACATTTCAAGTTCTTCAAATAAAGAGGAAAGTTCACAGGTGAAGCAGCCTGAGCCTCAGGCACCGTCTGTATACAAGAGACCGACTCCCGGCGCGTTTAAGACACAAAGCTGGGCGGACATTAAAAATCGGGAGAAGGAATTGGAAGAACAAAGAAAAAAGGAGAAAGAACAACGGCAGTCGAACACCAGAGAATCTCCGCCAGCATCACTAGTGTTCCGCAACCTGAACCGTAGTAGTGCTAATGCCATTCGACCCAAGAGCTGGGTCGCACCTAGCTCAAAAAGCTTCAACCCTATACTACCGTCCATGTATAAACCACCTGAGAGCACGAAACAGGCCGACAACGTAACAGATGCAAAAATTGATACCTCTAGATCCACTGATTCTGAAAAAGGATTATCAAGTGACCCATCACCGAAGACACCAGAAACGACTGCATCGTGCGATGAGAAGAACAAAGCATTTAAAAAGGATGCCGTTGAACACAAACCAGTCAGTATTGTACCCATGTCAGGTGCTAAGGACATTAACGCAGTTGGGCAATCAAAAGACAGACCAATCAATATCGTACCGATGCCATCTACCTTTGACACCAAAACCGTTGAGCAATCAAAAGACAAGCCAATCAATATCGTACCCATGTCAGATGCTAAGGACACTAACGCAGTTGGGCAAACAAAAGACAAGCCAATCAATATCGTACCCATGTCAGATGCTAAGGACACTAACGCAGTTGGGCAATCAAAAGGCAAGCCAATCAATATCGTACCTATGTCATCTGCTAAAGAAACTAAACCTGATGAACCTGCAAAACAAGTCAACATCGTACCGCTTTCATCTACATCAGAAGCTAAACCCGAGCCTGCAAAACACAGGCCAGTCAACATCATACCCCTTTCGTCTGCATCAGAAGCTAAACCAGAGCCTGCAAAACACAGGCCAATCAACATCATACACATGTCTTCTACTATGGACACCGAAAACGACGCTAAAGAGGACAAGGACAGTACCAGTTCTTCGCAGAGTACAACAAAAGTGGTGATGAGAAAGAAAGCTGACAAACCCGATTTGGGAGAAAAAAGAAAATCTATTCAAGATATGATGTCAATGTTTGGTGATTCGAAAGACTCAAAACGTATGAGCGATGATGTCACTCCCCAGCGAAGTCCAGCCATGAGATCACTCGAGGAGAAAGTCATCGGCAGATCTAGTAAACAATATGGCATCTCGTCCCTTGTGGATACTCTGTCCTCGAAACCAGGGGAAAAAGATTCAAAGAAGGAGTCCAAAGCAGAAGATAGTTCAGTAAAGTCCGCTCAGGACACTAAAGTCAAAGGCGCGGAAGGAAGGAATGCACAACGTGTATACAAGATAATCTTAGCTAACGATGAGGTAGCCTCTTCTTCCTCTGGAAAAAAGGAAGAAACGAAAAAAGAGGAAACAAAAAAGGGAGTTCCCAAGGTCAATGACTCGAGACCAAGATCTAATTCCCTTAACCCACGAGACAAATACAATGTATTGTTTCCTAAAGATGAATCTAAAGAAACCAGTAAATCATCGTCTTCGAGTCAAGAGAAAAAAAATAAAAAATCAACCAGCCCTGCTTCTTCGTCTTCTCAGACTTCCACGAGTGAAGCTTCCGTAGAGGCGAAAAAAGAAGAAGCAAAAAGTGCCGAGCCTGTTGTCTCTTTACGAGAAAAAGAAGCAACTAAACCAATAGACCCCTTCAAAAGACGATCCATGCCTGTTTATGTCGTGGAGAACAATGAACGACCTCAACCCCAGACAGGGAGTAAAGTAAGTATAACCATCTTTCCTTTCTTGTAAGTTGTCACCAATGACGTCTAAAAGGGTTGTTGTCCAATTTCTAAAAATCTGACTAATGGTTTTATAAGAATCTGTTTCTTGGAAAAATCAACATGTGAGTTGAGCGTTGTGTGCATAAAATATTGAATGAAGTGGTAGTGCGTGTGAGCGAAAAGTGTCCCCAATTAGTGCGAAAGCGCTAGAACGACTAGAGACTTAAATAAAGTAATTTATTTATTTATTTTGGAGCTCATTTTAGTCTATTTGGTGCCGATAGACCCCTTACAATGATTTCCTAGAGAAATTGTTCCTGGGAGACAAAACAATAAATCGTCTTTTCTTATTCAAAAGAAAAGTCCATTGTTTTGTCTCCCAAAACAATTACTCCCAGGACTCAGTGCAAGGCCCCCATCTGAGCATGTGCATCGAAGCTGAAATTGAGCCCGCGGTGAATTTTAAGCATTCCCGCCATGCTCCCATGACAATCATGACGTCATCGTATTCGAAAAATTTCGGATACGAAATGTTCTCCGTCCACAAGAATACTAGCCGGCGTTTTCAAATTGTTCCACTCTGGAGACCGTATTCGAAAAAATTCGTTTTCGGTGAAGAATTGTTCCGGATTCGCCCGGACAAGTGTGGGCGGTAGGCCTAACCGAATAAATAAAAATTCGGATTCAAATTTATCCGGCATAGTGTGGATGGGGCCTTAGCGAATTCATGCCTGCAGGTAGGGGAGTGCCCAGGCAAGCGTCATTTATTTGATTTCAAACTTCAAATAATTCCTATCTTTGTGCTTTCAAAGCTTCAGATTCTGATGGCGCATCAAATCACTGATGTCGGCGTGGTACCGAGGGGTCGAGTGGCTGCGATGAAAGCTGCATGGAAAAAAGAAGGCAAGTATTAGAAACCTTCCTCAGTACAATGTGTTCTTTCTTTGAAACTATTGCATTCTTGTAGAGGCGTTTTTTGAATACTTTTTTTGCCATAAGTTAAACATCAATCCCTAAATTCAATCAAATTCGGCGTTCTTACAAGGGGGGAAATGTATGTTGGTGGGAAACAGCTTGTCCACCACGATACATTCCTTGTAAAATAAGCCAACTTCGGTCGCCCATATCTTCCGTGCTTTTTTTCATTTTATCAACCCACTTTACCCTGCGAGCAGGGGTTGTTTCTCTTCCCCTCCGCAGGGCTGAGCGGCAGGTTAGTCAACTGGAATGCTGCCGAGGGCAGAAAAAGACCTCTGCAAGCAGGGTACTAAACACCACCTTAAACTTTCCCGATTTACTAATTTCGGAATGCTTTTTTCAATTATTGTTTTCATTTTTATTTGATTAAAATTTAAATTCTGACGCAAGGTGTGCAAATTCCCTATTGATGGTTTTCACGGCGGCCATGTTGGAGGAACTAAACATAAGAATTGTCAATGAATTCTTTTGTTATATCCTCCAACATGGCCGCCGTGTCTCTTGTTATTTCATTCTCTTGGAAATGGTTGAAAAACATCAATTAAACACTGTTATCTTTGCCACTTCTAGAGAAGTGAAAGCTTATATCGTAATTGTTATTTCGCAATTGTGATTTTATAGGAAATTAGATACCAAATGTGACAAACTACACTACATTGGCAAAACAGAGAAGAAAACTTCAATTCAAGTTTATCGAACGCCATTTACATTTACAAATCCACTGTATTTCATGTGCCTGCACTTGTTTGGTCACGTGAGTGACATTACGTCATGGGAATACTGACATAGATCACGTGTTGTCTAGTTGCCATAGAAAACCCACTGTATTGCATGTGCCTGCACTTGTTTGGTCACGTGAGTGACATAACGTCATGGAAATACTGACATAGATCACGTGTTGTCTAGTTGCCATAGAAAACCCAATGTATTTCATGTGCCTGCACTTGTTTGGTCACGAGTGACATTACGTCATGGGGATACTGACACAGATCAGATGATGTCTAGTTGCCATAGCAATTAGTGTTTGATACGAGATATTTTGCTCGGTATGCGCTATTTTCATATTGTATAGTGAATTCTCACAAATTTATAGAACCTAGATTGGTTTATTGCATTAAAAGAATTAAAAATAAATTCAATCAATACGAAATTGATAATTTTTTGCTAGAAAACATCACAAATATTATCAATCGATGCAGCTTGTAATAAAGAATAAAACAAAGCACCAAAAATAAAGATATGATTTTTTCCTTGTTTTTTTGTTACAGTGTAGATTCTGGTATTGAATAACGTTTTTAATCATAGGTAGCCCAAGCTAGGTTTCTGTTGTGTCATGTCATAAGGAAACGTATGGCGATTCTTACAAAGTTCAATAAAATCGTCATAATGTGAAATCAAGTAAAGAAATCTTAGCTGACCTCCATAAAAAGAAGTCTCTTTTTCGCCCTGTGTACGGTACTTAGATTTTGAATTTAACAGTGGAGGAAAAAAACGTAAAAACTGATTAAATCCAATATCTAAGTACACATAGGGCGAAAAAGATACTACTGTACTTTTAAAAGGTCAGCTATAAAGACCACTTTACTTTGTTTCTCATTTTTACGATTTTCAGCTAATACAACCCCAAGATCCTGATAATAATCTCAAGTATAGTAAAATACAACACACAAATAGACATTAGCAAATAAATTTAGTGGACAGTAGAGACGGATAGATATTAGCCGTTCCGAAGTTGAGAAAAAACAGGGTCGAGATGGCATTACAGTGCATTGTGGGACGGTTTTAGGGGACAACTGCCCATAGACGCCATCTTAGAAATATGTCTCCTAAAACATAATTCACTTATGGAGCTGACCAACTTGACCCAAACGTTTCCTCATCGTCGGAACGGTTTAAATAGGAATTAATATAAGTCCTCCAGCAAATAATATCAAATTTCTATTGATTTATTTTACGATCTGAATTCAGATTAAAAGCGAAGTAAATTTGTGCCGCTGAAGATGAACTTTTCTCATCCGAATAGGAGAAATCATATCGTGACTTGACACGATTTTTATTTTCCCTAGAGTTTATTCAATTTACATTGTTTCTATTCTCAGATGCGTCAAAGTGTCCTGAAAGATTCTGTATAATCAAATGGATTAATATTTTGCTAGCTGCATGCAAAGCCGGATGCTGTTACAAAAATCACTGTTATTCGAACGAATTTTCATCGGCCTGTGAAATCAAGAAAAATTTCTTTACCATCCTGATGTTCGTTGAATTGTCCTTACCAATGCTACTAATAGAATAACGCGTCTTTGCTTACAGCCGCGGTCACCCTTACCCTACCATCAACATTAGACCAAAACAGGCTATTAGTAAAAAATAGGCCAAATTAGTCTGACTAATAAATATACGAATTTTAGTTTCCCCTTTTCCTTTTCTTCGAGTTTCAAATCTCTTTGGAAATCAAAACTTTTGAGCTGCCTTTTGAGTGTCTACCCCTGAAACTTGTTGCATGCAACAAATCTGAAGTTGAATCGCGCTCTACTCTTGCAACATTGAGCGCAGAAAATCTCATCGTGTGAACATGGCTGCAACATTGCGTGCAATGTTTTCAAATGTCCAGCCAATCAGCTTGCACTAAATTTATATCCGCTGACCACTTTTCTTAGCATATCAGGCTGACACAAGCGATGTTGCGAGGTTTTCGTGCAACATGTTTCACCCCTATTCAAATTTGTTGGGTGCAATGTTGCGTGCAATGTTGAATGTAGCGAATTGTGAGTAAACAAAATCTAAGGTTCTTGAATATCAAAAATTTGAGCTGCCATAGCCAGAACAATTAACAGCCGAGTTAGAGAGATTTTTTTTGAGTGTAGCAAATTAAACAAGATATTTTCAACATCACAAGTTTCCGTTGGGAATTGATTAAATCATTTTAGTTTAAATTTTTAGATTGCGGAAATGATAAGTAAATATCGAGAGATAAGTCCCCCCCTCTCTCCCAAAAAAAATGGCGATCAAAAACGAATTTAGAATTTTGGAAAACCATTATTACGATGCGATTGTGATGCGAGATTTCCTTAATTGAAACCCAGTATATATTGAGTAGCATCGGCTTCTCTACTAGTCTCCTCTCTACTCAATCCCATAGAAATACAGAGAAATCTCTTTCTGTAAGACAATGATGGGTTTCATCCATTCATAGTACATGTGTTTTTGTAATGAATTTGAAGCAGTTGATCCAGCACATTTTGCATCTTAGTAGAGGCATCTTCCTTCCAACATAGAGTCATCAAATCCCACCAAGCATCTGGGGTTTTTGGTGGTCTCTCGGGTCGTATCCCTTGGTGGCAAACTGCATCTTTCATTGCATCGATATCATAACAGTGTGAGTAGACCTGTGGTCGAGCTTCCCCTGACCCTTCGCATAAGACCCACAACAGAGAACCAAAGGCGTAAATATCATACATCTTTTTGGCATGGCTGCCTCCTTGGTAGTTAAGAAACATCGTCGGTGAAATGTGGAAAGGGATTCCCAGTTTTGTAGTCTCGAATGGCTTCTCTGGTTTACACAGATTCACCTTGGATGTTCCATCTACAGTTAGCTGGCAGAAATCACAAAGCAAACTAAAGTAAACGTGCATAATCAAACCTATATTGATTTAGTTATCTTTTTTGGCATGTCATAAAACGTTTTACTTCCTGTTGGGTTTCCTGTGTAAAGACTCATATTCACCCAGCATCTGTAGCACATCAACTGATCAAAACTTTATCAGATAAAATGCCTTTAGGAAGAAAATTACAAAATTTCCCATTCTTACAATGGGATCATTTTCAAAAAATGTGTTTAAAATGGTATCAGTTTTACACGTGAGTCAGGTTCATTGGCAATACACATTGGCATTTCAGACCACGTGTCATTCGCTAGAGTAATATTTCTTTGTTTAACAGCTGTACATGAGAAGACACATGGATATCGAACCAACTCAAACAAAGACTCTTATTCTCAAGAGAACAACACCGGGTCTGAAATGGGCAAAACATTACGCCAAGTGGATTTGGTCCATTCTAATGGAAAAATAGAGTTGGTCGTAACGCTTGCCGGCCGAAACATGCCGCAAAATAGGCATTTTCATCATTACTCTGGTGATTATAGAAAATCGCACACGCTGATTGGTCGAGAACTTCGGACTTTTTCGGACTTCAACGACTTGAACAAACTGCTCTGAGCGTCTGGGAGAGGTCGACTTGGGGCAACTCTAGGACCACAGGGACCTGTAGGTGAAAATCAAGAAAGTCCGAAGTTCTCGACCAATCATTCAGCTCGTAGCTCCAGCGAGTCGTGTGATCCTGGTTGGGCGGCCTGCTTTATTTAGCGCGTGTGAACTAATATGAAGACGAAAGACTTTCTTAAAGTCTAGAGAGTCCCTACAGGTAAATATAGATCAAGCGCGCACCACTTGTTGAACTCAATAAATATGAATTTTATAAATAAACGCGCTGTCTATTTTCTTTCAGAAAATCACATTTATAGTTAATTAATATTACCATGACATTTTGGGGCTTGAGATCTTGATAGATGTAGTTAGCTTTGTGTATTGCAGAAACTCCTTCTGCTACATCTATAGCAACTCGCAAGCGCTTTTCCCATGACATTCCTCGTTTCAGGGCAGCCAATAGATCTTCTACTGCTTTTTCCATTACTATGTAGAGTTTATCTGGCTCTGGTAAGAACCAGCCGTTCAGCTGTAGAAACTTTGGACAACATGTGCCAAGCTTTTCAACAATATCTCTGAAATAAAGCAACAAAATCTACTTAATGTTATTCGTACATGTGAAACCAGTGGATCTATCAATGGTAATAGATTTCCAAGGGTCGGCGTGGGAAGAGTATAGTGAGTGACCCCGGCTCTCCTCCCAAAAATAGCTTCAAATTTAGATGAACCTCAAGTCAACAAATTCTATTTTCCAACGCGAGTGTGTGACTAGTCTCCATTAGGATAAAGATATACTTACATTGTATGCATGCAATCAAGCATGGTTTGGTTCCAAACCTTTGAGCCAACAGCAGATTTCGTGACCACTTTTACCATACAGCAATCGCGGTCTGCACACCAAAGGGGGCTGGAGCAAGAATGTACTCGACCATGCGCAGTGCACATTTCTTCCTCGCCAAGTTCGGGTGGGCCGCCACGTTCGATGACATACTGCAAAGCATGTCCTTTGACAGCAAGCTCGGCAACTTGTGGGACATAATCAGTACGAAGACGCGTGACCATTGATTCAACACCATGGGAAGATAGTGCTTGGTTCAGTAACTTGAACTCACGGACATCTTGCACGAATTCCTGATGTTTTAATTTTAGAGCTTCTCCACAGGTTTTAACGACAGTTTTAGCAAGTTCTTTGCAGTTGATTTTTGAGAGCATGCCTTGTACGACTTTCCGTCTCCAGGAACTATCTTTTGGCTTTGGTGCATTGGCTCCGTCGTTTTTCAAGTCAAACTTTTCTAAATGTCGTGAAAGTTCTCTTCTTAAAGCAACATCGATAGCAATGGAAAATGACTCTAAAATGCCATCTAGTACAGCACAATTTTCGACAAGACGTTTGGCATTCATTTGTTTCCTTTCTTGGTGATATTCACTAGCATAAGCGCGACGTATAAATCGCGATAGAAGTGCGCTCTCGACAGACTTTGCTAGCTCCTCCACCTTTAACACAGAGAGGACAAGACTGCGTTTCAAATCACGTTTAACAGAGCGCTTCAACACATTGAATGTTCTGTCTAAAATAGAACCCTTTATTTCACTGCAAAATTCTTCAACTAATGACTCCGCATTCCTTTTACCATTTGCCTTGAACTGATATTTTTCTCCTTCTTTTATGAAGATCTCTGCTAGCTTCTCCAGTTCTGAACCAATAGCATTGGTGATGGTTTTGCCCTTGACAATCAGGTCTAAAATCAAGGAGAAGAGCGATAGTTCTATGCCAATTGCACGATTGTAAGCATTAGATACGGAAGACACGGCATTGGCAAATGTTCTTTCCTTATCAACCACAGAAGTCAGGATCATCTCTTGAGTTGACAATAAGATTGATAACGCTTTTTTACTTTCTTTTCTGAAAGAGCTTTCTAGTTTTTCAAAAATGCAAAGCTCCAGGTTTTCGAAGCTCATCGTTGCTGCGTTTCTAAGCTTTCTCTTTCGAGACAGTTTTACCATCCTTGCAGAAACTCCATGGAAAAGGCTAGACGATTCAATTTCATCGTCTGAAGGAAGGAAATCAAGATTTTTCAACTTATGGAAAACGTCATACTTCTTTTTCTGAGCTTGATTGAAAAGCTCTTCATCAAAAGGATCGTCAGCTTCATCATCATCGTTGTCTTCATCCTTGTCATAAGCCTTGGCTTTTTTCTCAACATCTACCTTGCTACAAACAAACATCAGAGAAACGTTTGGAAACTTGTTCTGTAGCTCTCGTATAGTGGTACGGTCCTTTGAATCAAAGAATACTTCAATTATTGCCAAAATTACGAAATAATAATAATAGTAATAAAAAAAAAGAATAATAATAATAATGATAATGATGTAGGCCTCACTGATGGTCTAAAAATTGTAAGAAAGTGTCAGAAATGGGTTATTTCACAGAACTGTGAGATTGTGAAACGTCTGTACAATTGTTAAATTTGTATACATCTTTGTAAAACCAGTCATGCAGATATTTGCTTAGACTATTCATGCCCGCAATATTCTGTATTCAT